TTATACTCACACTGTGATCAGCGGCAGCTGGATGCAATAATCGCATGCCAATGTGCATTGGCTCATTTAGTTTACACGCTAAGTATAAGCGAGATCCCAATTCAAACGGGAAGCTGTGTTCTCCATTTTTCTCTGTAGTGTCTAATGAATGCTCTGTAGTGTTTTTCTTTATTGACTCATGTGTGTGTGTGATCTGAGAGCACCGTTTGATTTTGAGTGCAAGTGAAATGGTTTTGCAGTGATTGTTTGATTTTGATGTGAAATGTAGAGTTTGTATTTATTTAACAAAATGTGGTTTTGGCCAGAAAATTAACTAATTAGCCAAATTGTGTGATGTAGGTGTGTTGCTGTGTTAAGAGTTTAGAAAAAGTATGTTAAACGCTTGTTAGCAATTGAAAAAAACTGTAATGGGAATGTATTTTTGTTAACTGGCCTGGGCTTTTGCCGTTTTTCAGATATTTCTCCTCCGATAAAGATCATAGTAATCTCACGCGTGAGCATCTCAGGTCCTTTGGTTGGATCTTAACCAAACCTAAGGGCATCATTCTGAACTCACATCTCTACACTCCCACATTAATCCAAACTTGAAATGACAATTGAAAACCAGCACATTTGGTCTTTTGTGCCACAACAAAGACGTGTTTAGTCAGGTGCCTGTTCACACAAGAGAAGGATCACTGTTGACTCACAAATGGATGGGCTCCATCATGAGGTAAATAAATATGAGCATGGGTGGTCTGACTCCACAAAAACACTGGATGAATGTACATATTGAGTTTATCCTGCCGTGAAACAGATAGTTAGTGTTTGCTAAATTAAGCATCACTAGTACTAGTGTAGCATATGTTAGTCTCAGTTTTTGCTGATGGTTTTGTTTTTCAGGGGAACGGCCATCTCAGGGATCGTGTTTGGTGTGGTGTTTTTGATGGGTGCAGTGGCCCAATTAAACATGCAACAAAAAAACGTAAGTTTATTTCTAAATCAAAATGTGCATAATACTATAAGATCATATAAGTTCTGTCTTATTCTTCTCAGATCCTCCACCTCCTTATAGCTATGATTATGAGGTGTATCCTCCTGATCTACGGCCGCCTCCATACACACCAACTCTACCCAGAGTGGCAAACTACTCTCCACCTCCACCTTATCCAGGCTACAGCCGCAAATGAGCCTCCTTACGTGCCTGATTCTGAGAGGATGAAAGTTGCACTATGAAATGCACACAATGAAAACAACACAAACTAGTGTTGGACTGCCAGTGCTCTGTCAATAAAGCAGGGATTTCCACTCACTGGACCAGCCGCAAAGATGATTCTTACATGGGGATTTGACGATTTTCATTCATGGCATGGACATTTAGGGTCTCACAAATCTAAAGAACACTAATAAACATTATTAGGCAACAGGAGACCAGGACAGGTCTAAAAACTCAAGATAAAAAATGTGATTTGGTAAATGTATTTTCTTGTGATGTGGTTTGTTCGAAATCAGTGTTATTTCTTTAAATGTCAAATTAAAATACAGCAAAATTAACTGTTAATATGGGAGTAAACTTCATATGTGTTGTACAGTACAGAGTAACATTATATTCTTATACCTACAGTGTGTCTGTGTGTCTTGATTACTTTCAAATCAACTGAGGAAATAATATGCTAAATGTATTTATTCATAGAAAATTGAAAGAGCAACTTGTATTTGTAGTTGACTACTAGCTATTATAAAAACATACCAGGTATAGTTAACTGTTCTCAGAAAACCACTAATTGTGTCCAAACAGCAAAGCATTTACTCATTTTATGTCTGTTTTTACCTTTCATAATAAAACTAAAGGCCGCATGCTCGTTTTTTGCAAAGGGATGCATATGCTATAATACAGTTGTTAGCAAAATGGTTTATTTATTGTGGCCTTTGAAAGCCAATTTGCACACATATCCATAAAACTACATTAAAATATAAATAGATTTCTTTCAGAAAACCCTTGAATAAATAAATATAGAATATCGCTCTGTCAATTAAATTAGTACATGAGAATTTACTGACCCGTACTAATATTACACAGTTATAATAATGTTTGATGAACGTCCACACGGTGGCAGCAAATAATATAAATTAGCATAATTAAATTCTCCAGTTTGAACATAATCTAGATAAGATAACATTTAATGTTTTTAGTTTCTTTTTATGAATGTAAATGAAAATGTATGTATTAGATGAGCAATAACGACATAGTGATACAGTAAAAAAAAAAACACCGATTACATTAAAAAAATAATAATAATTACAAATAAAATTAAAATTAAGCAACAAAATATAAACATTGATTGGAAAACAGATAGCTGACTGAAGAGTAAAATATTTTTGTTATTACTCATAAGCCAAAAGGCTAAATAATAAAAAAAAATAATGACAAGCTGAAATAAATAATAATAATTTATGTAATAAAAACTAATAAATATGCAAATACATATAAATTAAATAATAAAATATATTTCAATTAAAAGAAAAATAATTTTTAAAGAAGTTAGTGTAATCTTTGATTTGATTTTAATTGTAGTTCCCAGTATTTTGAGTGTAAGTCAGTATTCCTGCTCCCCCTCCCTACATTCATTCCCTCGTTGTCCGGTCAGGTGACGCGCTGTAGTCTACTGACTCGCCATCGCAGGCGCATCGCATTCTTCTCAGAGCTGACACGATTCACACACCGACATTTTACACCAAACGGATATTTACTCGATACAGACCAGCGCTATTTGTCAGAAGAACGGAGAAGAGGGGCAGAATGGGGCGTCGAGAGGTTTTCATATTACTGATGGCCGCGACATCGACGATCGCTGTTGAGGTAAGAAAGCGACAAAAGATCGTAGCGACGCCGAACGCTGATCAAAGACGATGAAGCGATTCATTCTAACGATAGATAACGTGCACTAGAACAGCTGCACTTCGACGAAACGAAATACAGCCGCCATAGTCTTACAATATAGATCGCGACGATGTATCTCTCTGTTATTTATGTCGTTTCCAAACCAGAATAAGGTGTCATATTTAACGATTATGCTCTTGTTTAGAGTCCTAGAATGTTACATAAGGAATTTTGTTTCCTCTTTTTGTGTAAAGATTTTTTTGTAAATTCTCGCGATTATACGCGTTCTGCGGAACGTTTCGTGCGACCGGGCGCTGTATATGAGCGGTGTTTTAAATCCGACATCAAGGATGAACAAATACTGTGTAACAGATGCGCTAATTAAAAATGATAAACAAACTGTCAGGCTGAACGGGATAGTGAGTGGCTCGAGCATAATGTGACATTCGCTGATTCAGTGATCACATTAAGTCACCTTTATTTATATAGCGCTTTATACAATTCTATACATTACATATTGTTTTATAATGACGCTTTTTGATGTAGATCCAGCTTGTTAATGGAGGAATGTGTTCAGTGGCCTGTTGGGTTGGGATCAAACAACCGAGATCATGGGATCAAACACGAATCCTCTTGGAATCAAACGAGCTCCTGCTGGATAATCTGGAACGGGAAAATAAGAGTTCAAGTTTTATCCAGCAGGATCTCATTCCAATTGATTCCGAATTATGATTCACTCTTACCCGAGGTTTTCATCGAGTAAATAAGCCGTTTTGTTTTCACTGGGTGTGTGTGGAGAAAATGATCTTTCTTCGGCCTTTATGAGGCGACGTTTCTTTAAAACGTGACTCAATAAATAGTTGCGGTAATGTAGGTAGATACGTTCTGTTCCGTTCCCTTGAGAGGAACGCGTTGTGTGTGAACGCCCCCCCCC